CCCCATGTGTCCATATTTGATCCCTTGTCACACTAATATCCTTATCTGTGCTATTTATGATGGCCCAAAGTTTGGCAACTGACAGGTTAACTAACACCTGGTAATTGGTGACTAATTTCTGCACACATTTGCCACCTGTTCTATATAGACAAATGTATTTTGTGCCTTTTCAACAAATTGTTGTTCTAAATTTGTGTCGGCAATTATCAGAAATTACTGCATTAAGAGGAATTTCAACAATGGCTGCAGCTTCCAGGCTCAGCAAATCACCCATCTCAGTAAATGGCTTCCTTTTGATGAAATCGTTGCTAAGATGCAAAGCGCTATCCACACTGCCAGCTCAGAATAGAATTTTATTTAACATGTTTGTGTATTTCCACTTATGAACTTTGAGCTATAGGTTGATCAAGGGGGTGTCTGCCCTGATCCAGATTTAAGCTGGCTCATTCACATTGGCTAATGATCCTACTGCTGCTCAGTTATTCTTTCCCCCGATATACACATACTGTAGACATACATGTTCATATCCTATAAGAGTGCTCACTTCACTCAATACTGCTCTTATGCTAAGGAATTTATACTGGCTGAAGAATTTCACCCTGCCTTAGTTACCTGTCATTTAGATCAAATGTTAAAGGTTCTTGGTATATCCAAATTACTGATCGATTGTGATGGTGCATGCTGGATCAGGCAATAATTACCTAATAGTGTATGCTAGGGACATCCTTTGATATGATTATTGTTAATGGTTGGTAATCTGAATTTTAGTCTGAAGCAGAATACACAAACGTATATATACAGTCTTGTCCACATACACTGTTATAATGCTTAAAAATAAACATTTTCGAAAAGACATATGGGGGCTGCCATCGGTGACCTCCTTTTTATTATCATAACTGCCTGACTGTTATCCTTGTCCACTGGCTTTGATACTTTTTGAGTCCTTGACTTAGTGTGCCTTTTAGGAAAGTCAGAGTCTCTTAGAGAATGTGGTTGAAGAAAGACAACCATGCATGACAGCCAGGTAACTGAGAGTCAGCAATGGCAGCCTTCATGTTTTTCTCTGGAAAGATTTCTTCTAATGGGGCAGAACAAAATGTAGACAAATCTGACACCTTGCTAGGCCTGTCATACTACTACGTTCCCTGTCCAGCTCAATGGCAGTATGTGGTTGCACGCTCGTAAAGGCAGATCCAAACTTATACATCCATACAGGCAATCTGTGTCCAGGGCTTGCATCTGTATGGGTGTATAAGTTCAGATTGGCATTTACCAGCCTGCAGCCACATCTTATCATTGAGTTGCACAGGCAGCTGCATGCAACAGTTGCCACTCCTGGGCGCAGGTTTCTGCATGGATGTGCATGCTGTACTGCTCTGCATGTCCATGTGAATGAGGCTTTAGCCTTACTACTACTATTGCTGTCAGGTATTTTAAGCTATGGACATTTGTAAGCAATCTAAGCTGTAAGTTCAGTTGGCTGATCTATATTTACAGTATATGCAAGTGAATAGAATTATTCTTGAAGGATATCTAAACCCAAGAACAAAAATTTACTAAACTGAAGGTTACTTGTCCTTAAATATGATGGTTGCATTAGTTTTTATTTCCCAGGCCAAGAAAATTTTTTGGCAAGTACAGAAAGTGCCTGCTGATCTTGCCAGAAATGCAGTGTCCTTGTCACCTCCTGGGAGCTACACTAAAACCACAAAAAAATGAACCTTACTGGCATAAACTGCTAATCCTCCCCGTACCCCTCCGTAGATACAGTACAGGGAGTGAGTGTAGCACCAGTGTGTTATTTGCTGGATTACAAGGTGAACAAACGCCTGAAAAAAAGAGAAAATTATGCAGCTACCACATCTATGGAATGCAATATTCTGATATACATGTTCACTGGCACTGTATATATATATATATATGCGTGTGTGTATATACATATATCATTATTATTACTTTTTTTTTTTTGGGGGGGGGGGCATTGATACACTTGAAGTTATCATTGGAATGTATTTCCTACTTTTGCCAGAAATGGATAATAATGGGTGAATAAAATCCTATTATGAGGCATATCTTGGCAAAACGATTTGTCTGAAATTGATTAAAACCCGCTGACAGGTAATGCATCTTTACAGAAACATGCAGTTTAAAATCAATACATTGTCACATAATGATGTTAGTAAAAACAAATGTCATCTCGCCTACAGACTGTCCACCTTAAGAATGACATCAGAGAAAATCAGACGTACTTCTAGACTGAGCGGAACATCAGCACTTATTATGTTTTGCTCGACCAAGTATAAGTAGGGAAATGAATGTTATTGAGTGAGCTCTTATAATTCAGGAGCACAACTCCCATGCTGGGAGCATATTAGTCTTATCAGAACACCGATTCTTCACCTTGTTTCATTGTATCCCAGACGAATTAGCACACCATTCTTACCAAGTTAATGCTGCAACCAATAATGAGATAAGACCACATCATTGAGGTGCTATGGCTTTGAAATTCTACTAAACCAAGTACTTCTTGTATAGCTGAACTAATGCACAGGGGGGAAGCTAGCTGCAGTCGTCTTTGCAATCAAAGCATCGCTTCATTAAAGAGATAATTGGCTGCCTATCTCTATGCACAGAAAGCCACCTCTCTATTAGTTCTGTTGTAGCACAGAGTGTTCATGGGGCTGCTTTATCAGGAATGAAGCTGCTGATGCCATAGCTTCAGCTGCTGCTCACAGGAACCTTGCTTATTGTTGAGTTACAGACGAGACGTGGGCGTACTTAAAATCCTCCCCTGTCAAGCACACATTAGTTTTGCAATAAAGCAAAATTACTTTGGCACCTATTGGCACCTTCTGTGGCATTGTCTCAAAATTACTTGGATGAAGAGCGACAATAATAATCGTAAATGTTTAAAACTAATGTGACAGTTAGGTTCCATTGATCATCCACCAGTGGAAATATAGGGATTTGATATAGATGCATGGCAGTATAACACCTTAAAATTGAACATAAATTAGTTATACAATACATACTGATTTTCAAAAGTTAGTAGATGTCTGGTATTGGAAACCCTTAGCAGTAAGATCAATATAATTTGCCTAGTATACGATTTAAAAACATAACAAAATCTTTCTTTAACATATATGAGCTTTTTCTATTCAAGTGTCAGGCAAGAAGTAATTACAGTATGGGGTTGATTTACTAACCTTATAAACACACCACGAACATGTATACACCTCTGTAGTGTGTTCCCTCCCAGCATGATCTATGGGTGGAATCTAAACACCTTTGTAGTTTGTACACAACCAGCAGGTGTGTTGTGCAAAACCCTGCCCTGAATTGCAAGGTGATGTTGTGTAAATTAGCTCTACATTGTGTTGCTTGCGTTGATCAATGCAGGAATGTAAATGCATGAGCTAACTATTTTTGTCTAAACTGTGAAGCAGCATTATATATGCATCATGTGCATGATTTTTCCATATATGGCATTAGTGGAAATATGCTTATAGAGACTTTTTGGTTGATAAATACGCTTTGCTGTGTAAAAATCACACGCACCTGGTGCGTGCATGTGTTTGGTTTAGTAAATCACCCCCTATGTCTCAGATCCACAAATCATATTCAAACTCTCATTATGCAAATGTCACGTTCTAGTGTGGGTCTGAACCTGATTGGTGGTGGGTGCTTGGCAATACGGTTCATAATACTGACACTTTTTATTTTATCTGTTGATTCACAAAGTTTACTTCATAGACATATGTACTTGTACATAACCAGTCAATGAACATTCAACAAGGTGGCTGCATTAGTGTTCTGTTTTCTGGCTTTTTTTCCTTTATTTTCACCTGGTGATGTTACCAGTAACACACTTCTTGTCCTAGGGTAACATTTGCTCACTCATTATTCTATATATAAGGAGGAGCAGCCTTGCCACCCTAGGACAGACAGTGTGTTAGGTATTTTCACTTGGACCGGAAACGCTGTAAGGAGTGCAGGGGGACCTACTGTTTTCTGGCATATAATACATTTGTTATTTCGGATTCGGACGAACTGCCAAATTAACTGAATTTCGTTGATCTGCAGGTTCGTCCGAATCCGAATGCACGCGTCTTCTGGCAGGATCAACAGGAAATAAAGCTATGCAACTGGGGAAATTAGTAAAAAAAAAAAAGCATTGTTAAGGTGGCCATACACTGTACAACCATCGCAAGACCTTAGTCTTGCGATGATTGTAAAGTAATTAAAAAAATGTACGATCTGCCCATCTTGGACAGGCAGATCGTACTCTCGATCATCGCAAGCCTGCCCCCCCCCCCCGTGGCCCCCCGCAG